AAATCTCAATAAGTCACAAAAAGATTTATAGTATTACATTTTGTACTCAGTGAAAAAACAATTATTAGAAATTAAACCAATAAAAAAAAAAATACATATGCCGTTACGAGACAGAAAACAAAACAATTAATTTCCATTCGCATGAAATCGCACATCATTTTCCAGGAAGAATGTCCCGAAACAAATCAATACAACGTAGAAAGAATAAAAACTGAAAAAACTGGCTTTTGTAGAGTTCCATTAGATATAGAAAATATCGTTCAAAATAAAAGCATTAATTTTTCAATATTATGTTGTTAAATTTAATTAATGTGTTATTTTTTAAAATTATTTTTATTGTTCTTTTATGAATGAAAATAAATTTTTTTTCTTACCTTACTTACAAGTTCAGTAAATTGTCAGATTTTTAAAAGCTAATTTTTCAAAAAATCAGATTGACTTTACAGCACATTTCTATGCATTTTCACTTCCCGTATTAGATATTCTCAGCGCTACAGCCTGGTCGACAAGGTATTAATTTACGTTCATAAGGTTTCATTAATGCTTCTTTTCGTTGTTTCATTCTTCTCATCGATATCTTAGGAATTTCTGTACATCTTTCACTTTTACTGTCGGAAATACTGCTACAATTAGCTTCATTCATTTCTGCAAAAGTTCTTTTTTTTTGTAATACACTATCAGTGTCTATAATTTTATCCATATTATTATTCAAAAGAAACGTATCTGATTGGCAATACTCCAGAGACTTGTAATTTCTTTCATTATTTCCTTTTAATTTTGAACTTTTTATATTAAACGTATTTTCTTTACTTGAATCATATGAAATAGCATAATTTAAGCAATCAAGTATCTCGATAACATTACTCATGCATTCTTGAGAATAACTTTTATTTGTTAACTTATCCATATGAAACAGCATAATTTAAGCAATCAAGTATCTCGATAACATTACTCATGCATTCTTGAGAATAACTTTTATTTGTTAACTTATTTATAATGACGTTTAATTTATCTTCCAATTTTTTTTTTTCATTTCTAATACAAGAAGAATTTGAATTTCTATTTTCTTGATGTATACAATTTTCTTTATTCTTGTTATACTGCTTCTTTGAAGTCTGAATATTGACTGGATGAAATGAATTTTCAGTTATATCAGATACATATGTTTGTGTGGATGAATCACATTTCTTGGAACTATTTGACCTAAGACTTTGTTTGTTCTTTGTCTCTAAGTTATTATATGAAGAATTGGTAACAGCTGAAACTCTAGGTACACGAGACTCTTTAAAAGATTTTGAATTTAATATTTTATCTTCAGAACTATTTGAACATGCAAAGGTGATATCTGTTACTTCACTTTTTATATCATCATCACTGTCAGTAATGGGAGTAGGCCAACGAAAAATTGTACAACATCCTTGTTGTATAAATGTTTTCCAAATTTTACAAACATTTTTCCAATCGTAAGGAAATCCATTGTAAAATTTATTTCGAACGTATTCTGGTAATTCTAAATATAACAAATAATATTACATATGTAAAGAATATAAATGTGTGAAACATAATTAAGTACTATGAGATACTAACCATACTCATTATCAGTAATATTTCCTTGCAAACAATACAAATGTTGATAAACAGATTCAACGTTGGTACTTGTCAATCTCCTCAAAATAGGCTTACTTCGAGCAAGCTTTCCACTAACATAAATGAAGAAAATAATAAATGGATATTAAAATAAAATAATATTAACACTTACCATTGTAACATGCCTTTAATAATTAACTGACTTTTTTCATTTAACATGACTATCCAGTCTGTAAAAATTGTAACTTTCTTATTTAGCCAAGTATCAGTAGAAATTTCTATGGAACTAACAGTATTGTTATGTTTTTCACTATTATTACAAGACCTGCATTTCTGTTTTCTCTTAGGAAATTCTTTATTAATGTCACAGGGATGACATTTATTCTGTGATGATAGTAAAGATTTTCTAACATTATGTGTCATGTTATTCTCTGATGTTTTAGAACTACGAGGAACTCTGTTCATAGTAGGTGGTAACATTTTAAAACGATCTGCCAGACAATCATTTTCTTCACTGAAATTGTTAACATTAGATGTAACAATCATTTTACGATTACTGTTAAAGCGTTTACTTTGTGAAGATTTATTCCTCAAATTATAATTTGAAGAAACAACCTCACGGCCAATGTTAAAATCTTGTAAATAGGAAGTATTAATACTGGAATACATTGGATCTGTATTAGTGCTAGAAATACAAGAGACATTTGATTGCCATGATTCATCTCTTTTTTTGATTCCCTTTTTAAGTGAAGCTGTTTTTAAATTGCGTTTCACTTTTTCAGACAGTTGTTCTTGGTAAAGATCACCAAACCTGATCTATGAAAATACAGATGAAATTAAAATATATTGAAAAGGAGATTATTAACACAATACTTAAGATACAATTACCTCACTTATTTCTGCCATTTGAAAAGTTTAATATTATCACTAGTTGATCACAAATAAAATTCGTTTGCAATTAATTTTTTGTTATATTTCTTAGAATCTTTGTAATATTATAAGCCACGCAACGCCTCACAAATTTTCAATTCTTCAACTTTTTTCGTATACTATCACTGGCGCGCAAATTGGAGATTTTCCACCATTCAAACTCAATGCTCAACTGTTAGTCTCTCAGTGGTTCTCAAACCAAACTTATATCGCATGTAGGTTAAGAGCACAGACGAGGTACAGAATAGACCTATCACCTAATGCATTTTTGTCCATGTCACGGGGGCTCTAGAGCTCCTTTACCATTTTCGTGTCGCTTCCAATGTTACCGATTCAGCGTAGAATACGATTACAACATTAGTCGTGGTTGGAATTAGAACCTCCGACGTGCGTCTACAAGTACATCGAGCCATTCTTAATAGTTTATATGCATACGAAGTGTTTGTCACCCTCCAATCAAGGCAAAAAGTCCTGCGAGGGTTTTATCAAGTGATATGCTCGGTGCATGAAGTTCAGTGCACCGCTTTCATCGCTTCCAGTGTTTCCACCCCTATAACAGGTGCGCGCAATTACCCTTCACTGTGCGTGCTGCGCTGGGGTGAAACGACGATGAAGGATCTCAAACGCTGCGTTCGTCACGGCTGTAGTGTTCGTCGAACTGCGTACACATCGTTGACACGCAGGCACGTCGTTTAGAAAATTTCTGTTCGTTTGTTGACGACGTAGACGTTCAAAGAGACACATTGATGCGAAGGAGCACAGCAACACTGACCATGTTTTTTATGCACTTGCATCACCTGACTTCTGAAGATTTTGCTGGAACGTTGCATTACGTGGATTAAATTCAAACGATTCAGATTACAGTCGTCGTTTCGCTTCAGCTAGACAGTATGAATTTGGCCACTGCTATGCAGCATTGTGAAGTTCGTGCTCGTTTCATTATTTCAGCATGTAACAAGTACAGTAATATGTTTATATTAACGAATTTATGGTATAGAAAGGTATTACCATTATCTTGAAGGAATTACATATTTGGAAAATATGTTTTCCTTTTTTAGGACGACACAGTATAACCAAAATTTAAACATAGAAATGGACAGTATGTTGTCTTACAAAATAT